GCTCGTATATCGCATTTTTTGACCTGATGCCGGCCTTTTTGAATCTTTGCGACTTAATATTCGGATAGAGCATGAAAAACTGCATCGAACTGATATAGTCTCACTTAAGTTCAAAAGTGTTCAGTAGACTGGAAACTCCAGAAAGAGGAATGACCATGTTTATCCTATCGAGATTCTGGTCGTATTTCGCTGTAATAAGTAGCTAAACATTTCGGATTGTCCTTATTCATTAAGATTTGGATAGAGCTTGGAACTTTGCATCTAAAAATACTTTTCTAGATCCCCTAGAGACTAATACATGTGAAAGCAGGGTCAAAAACCCGGTTTGGACCTCGAAATTCGTATATAAGAAAAAATGATCCAGTTTTTCAGCATTACATTTTTGAACTTCGAGACAGCGATATTCGTGATCAGCATCGTCGACTTGTCAGTTCTAGTCACTCTTAAGAAAAAAATTTCGAAAAAACGTTTTTCGAAACCATGTGGGGGGGTACAGGGGTCGAAAACCCGGAAGTGATTTTATGGAAAATCAACATGCTAGATTTGTAGCCCATATCGATCTTATAACACTGATATAGTTATTTCTTGAAAATATCTGGGGTTGAAAAATGGCCTTATCGCCCCTCCTCCTTTTAATATCTACAAAATATCTAGCTTCACTATATTTTACTATTATGACCAGCTAGTAATTGGTTTTTCGATCAAAAAGAGAGGATGCACCGTCTGCAACAGTAAATTTTGAATGTCTGTTAAAACCATTTTACTTGTTATGCAATTTATAATAAACAATGTTCTTGTCATACAAGATCAGTAATGAATTAATTGACTGGTCATGGAAACAATTCATGCTCAAGTGATGCACTTTCTCTTTTTGTTAGCCTAGTATTAAGTGATATGGCTCTATACGACATCGACATCTTCTACTCGACTAAAGTGTAGAAAAATAAAGTAACAATGACATAAATGTCTATTTTGTGTGGTTGTATCACAACTCTTTTTCCATAATTTGCTTTGTGCGTTAAGTTGGTTTGTATAAATAGTAATGCAAACAATTCGATACTGAGTGTGTATAGCAATCATATGTATTGTATAACGTGAGCTATGCACAATTCTGATAGATTTTTCACTAATAAAGTCTAAGCTAGCTTTTCCTGATGGTTAATGTGAATAGCAAAAGTAAAACTAAACATTTGAAGTTGACTTTCATTCTATAGCTCCTGTTTTGTTGGTGAAATTGTGTCTATCTTAAAAACTACTTAGATATTATTTCTCGTTTCTAAAATATTTTTATATTAGGTTGTATAATTGTCTTTGATATGGGTGAGAATGATCGATCATATGATCTATTGGTATTATTTGATAATGTTTTTATATATTATAGGCATAATATTTTTCAGCTGATTCATAATTTAGTTGTAAATGATATTCTTGAAATATTGAAAATACAATGAGTTGATTCCGCACGATTATTCTCTAATACCAAAGATGCATTGACAATATTTTAACTGACTTCTCCAATTCATTACCAATTAAACAAAAATCATGTTTCAAATTATCAAGCAGAAATTCTACCATCTGAATTGATATAGAAATCAGTTTGACATATTTCAGTGATATATTAAAATTAAAAAGAATCTGTGCTACTCATTTCATACAGAACTTGGAAACGTTTTTGTCACCAGGAAAATAATTACTAGAATCCGAAAATAATACGATACAAGGTTAGTGGTACTAATTGATGATAAAAAAACCCTGCTAAATACAGATGACAAGAAAAGTCTTCTGAAGGGTGTAGGTTGAGTGTAGACCAAAGGCACACGCACATGCACACTCACACCCTCATCGTTAATTTTGGTTGGCTTATGATTTGCTAGACACAGAATTTTGCGAAGAATCGATTGGTATCAAAATACAGCTACTTTGGAAGTGCCTATAACGACTTTAGTTATAAATACTGGCATGCACTTTTCTAGTATAAATGTATGATTCATACACAGAAAAATCAGACATGTATGTTTTTCCCAAATGAATCATTTCGTATCAAAAATTATGTCAATCGACTATCTATTTCAGCTCGAATGGTTGAAATATTGTTGAGTAATGACGGAAATATTGCTCCAAATGAGCATGAAAATCATATTCTTATATGAATATTTTTGTTCACTTCTACTGACTACTTTCTCAATGTCTCGATAAAGGAAAACAACAACATGGGGGTTTTTGATTGATTTTGAAAGCTCGAAAGAAGGGCTACAAAGCCAGATATTTTTCGATTATTTCAAAAGTGGTTTTTGTTGTAAAAGATGACCTGAGTTTCATTGGGATATCCGTTTTTTACATTCTTTTTTTACAGATCTTCGACATCTTTTCATTGGAAAAAATAGGATTTGAGTCAAAACTAATAATGTTTTTGGAATCAGAATAAAGAAAACTAAGTCAACTTACATAGATTTCAACGTTTTTCGACGAACCTTTTTTTTTCTTGACAAACTAACCTGGTTTCCCCAGGTCCAATCGAGTGTTGTGTTGGTATGGGTGTGGGTGTGGTTCTTGTCTTGTTTGATAACCACGCCCACGCTCCACACCCAACCCTACGTACATCCACACCCACCCTTCTCATTCTATGTCATCATTCACTCGTATATTTTATGTACTGTTCTCACGTATCTATTGATATGTTTTGTCCTTACTCTATTGCTCTTCTATATGTGTTCTCTCCTTGGCCTCATCACTTTTTTATTCTTACGTTGTTCTCTCCTTGGCCTTATCTTCTTTCTTTTCATCCTCTCTTATTCTAGTCGTGTATATAAGCGTGTGCTTTATACGTAAACGATACGATTGTATGATATAAGGGAATAGTATAAAGTGTGTCACCAATCATACTAACATTCCTGGTATCATTGATCGTCACAAGACGATTATGTGATATGAAGGAATAGAATAATGTGTAACTCCATCGATACGAACATCCCTTCTATCATTTTTCGTCACAGTAATGTACCTTTTTTTTCAGGGTACTTTTATGCCAAGCAAACGTTTTCTCTAGGGGCTATGTATACTCTTGGTTTTTACGATTACACTTTATTTCATCATAAGATACATGCGGTATCCGACGACGAAAAGTAACATAGTGTTCTCATATAATCCTGGAATTGAACACTTAACAGTATTGTCAAAGAATCTGAGAGCGAATGCTGACAATAACAACATTATACGATACGATACTTTTACTAAGTTCACTATATTACCACCTTTATTTCATCAGTTATTGATGCAAACGCCGGAAAAGATTTATTCAGCTCAATCTGAAATTAACAGTTGTAGAATGCTGCACAGTGGTACACGTACTGAACTCATTGATGGGAAGATTTATAGAGTTGAATGGCAGCATAAACTATGGAACAATACTGATTTGGAAGAGTTTTTTATGTATGATTCTACCAGTAACAAACCGCTCATTTTTACTAATAGTATTGATCATAAGCATTCACCTCAGCTACATTTGAAGCAATTCATTACAAAGCATTTTTGTACATTTCAATCACCGTCTAAAAACGATGAACATTGTCAAACTACAAGGAATGTTTTACACGAACGGCTCTATGCTAAATTAGCGGATTTAATATATGAAAAATTGCAATTAAAAAACTCAACAGAGCATCTACTGACACATGGTGACACGAACTTTCTGCTTAAACTAACTGATGTGTTTAGATTCTTCATTCTATATATATTTGGAGGCATATATTTGGATGCTGATACGTATTGCGTGAAATCTTTAGGCCCTTTGTTGTCTATACCACCTTATTCGCACCTAATAAATTCAAGCAAAACGACAAATGACATTCGTAATGTATCTAAAGAAGTTTATACCAGCTTTGGAGCCTATGAAAGCGAAACTCAAATTGGCGAATTAATAGGTAGTAGTATTTTAGGCTCCATGCCACATTCTGAGAATCTTTTCCGAATGATATTTGAATATTTGACGAGGGAACCTCATTATTCTGCATTTAAAAGCTTAAAAACGGAAGCATGGAAGACAAGTGGACCTGGCCTGATAACTGATCATATCGCCTTAATGACCAGGCAAAATCGAAATTTCAATTTCCAAATATATCCTTCACACCTATTTTATCCTATACATCACTCGGATAGAGAAATAATACACAGTTTTCAGCGAAATGCTACAATAATGTTCAATTATATTCGCACAAAATACCCGCATTGTTTCTCAATACATATGTTCGGGTCAACAATTAAAATGATTTGACGACGATTACACAAACGGTTTCAATGTAATATGAAAAACAGGCTTCTTACGGTTATGTCGCACGTTAATATAATCATTCTTTTATGTTATTCTCTATCTTCTTTTATCTTCTTTTGATCTCTATTGGTATCTTTTTCTTTTCGTTCTTCATATATGTATTATATATGTTCTCGTTTGTTTTTATTCCTTACATAATAAAGTTCGTGCATATACATCAGCACATATAATATCTAACATATATAACAAATAAATAAATAAATAAATAAATGAAAGAAAGAACGAAAGTCTAACAATTGGCGACCCTGCAAAACAACATTAAAAAAAAACAATGAACATTATCATCAACAAACAAGTATTGATTATCATTCAAATTAATCATTTTAATATATTTCACATAAGAGTCTCTCAATAAAGAGACTTGAAATTTTTAGAGGCTTTTATAAAAAAGACTCGAATAAATTTTATATTATATTATTGATTTAATAGTTAAACATTATATTTCATGATTAGGTGAGACAATCCTTTCTGTTTCATGCTATTATTTATGCACAAATATAAGGAATACTTTTAAGTAAACCGTAAACTTTTTGGGATTTTCAAAAAAAAAATTCATATTGCAAATTTTTTTTAGAAAATTAAATTTCAAATCAAAAATAGACAGGGAATCAACATAAAATAAATCGTGTATATTTCGTTGCTTGAAACAATTCTAAACCGAGAATCTAATAAGAATTTCGTTCATATATTCATTTGTTTTTGCATTTAATTGGTTCTTCTAATTACTCATTTACCGTGATATTAATCATTATAATTATAATATATTTATAACGGCTACCAGAACAATATGTCAAGTTAAGCAAAATGATAAAACACTATTGTCACATACTATTATTACCAATTCATTGTCTCGTGTACGATCACAACATAATCTTCGCATAAATTCAATATGATATTTTAATAGAAAGAAAATAGCTGATTCAACATTATTAGCAAAAGCTCGAAAAGCTCAATTCGATGATTTACCAAATTTTTCCGAACACCCTTTTGAGGATGTCGCACGATTTTTAAAAAGCATCAAAAATATTACAACAGCTAATGATGAATCAGAAAATTATGAAATTCTTGAAATCGTTCGTAGTAAATTAGCTCAATCGGCAGGATTATAGTTCGATAATAATGAACATAATTTTAAAAAATGGCCAGATTTCGAAATGCAATTTCGAAATCGTTATTTTTCAACAACAATGATTCATGAAAAATTTGATAAATTAAAACAACGAACTCAATAACATGATGAATCAGTTACATCTTATATCGATGATGTTATCAATCCATGTCGAGAAATTGATCCAACTATGTCTGACTCAATTAATATTCAATATTTAATGAGTGAAACTAATCCTGATTTTAGAACAGAAATTTCTCGACATGAATCATGTCTGAATACATTAAATGAATTTTTAAAATATGCTACAATTGAACAAGATTTATATGATACTTTTGAAAAATCTCGTCAATTATCAATTGAATCTAACCAACCGAACTTTGCAATTAATTGTCAACCAATTCCATCATTAACAACTATGATTAAACAATCAAAACAACATTTTCAATTTATGACAACAAATACATCTCCTTCCTACTCGTTACCAACACAGAGATGCTTTTTTAAATAGAACTCGAATCATCAATCTGAACCTCGATCAACATTTATAAGGTTTCTGTAAATGCAAAATCAAAGCAGACTTTTTTTTGTATAGTTAGATAGAGCTTGACGAGCTGATCAAGAGTATGTTTGTTATAAATTTTTTGGAGTGAGTTTTTAGTTAAAAATTCTCAGGTTTTTCCTATGACCTGTTGTTTCTAAAAAGAAAAAGAAAAAGTCAATTTTCGATAACCGACCGATTTTCAATTATTTTTCATTTGCTTCAAATTGTAAAACTGTTTGTTTTGGATTCGGCATAAAGAATAGAATCTAAGAAAGTCATTTTAAAATGACTTTCTTAGATTCTATTCTTTATGCCGAATCCAAAACAAACAGTTTTACAATTTGAAGCAAATGAAAAATAATTGAAAATCGGTCGGTTATCGAAAATTGACTTTTTCTTTTTCTTTTTAGAAACAACAGGTCATAGGAAAAACCTGAGAATTTTTAACTAAAAACTCACTCCAAAAAATTTATAACAAACATACTCTTGATCAGCTCGTCAAGCTCTATCTAACTATACAAAAAAAAAATCTGCTTTAATTTTGCATTTCCAAAATCTCACCTAACAAACAAATCCAGATTAAATCGCAATAAAAAACATTTAAAAATAAATATATTCATAATCAATTAACTTCGCAATCACAATCTAATAATTGTAAAATTTGTAATCGACAAAATTATCGAACAGTTGATTGTTTTTACAAACGTACAACCAGATGTTTTAATTGTGGTGGAAATCATACTGTTCATGATTGCAAAATGTCTCCAAATTTTCAATAGCTGGGCCACGCGATGGCAGCGTTCCCAGTAAATTTATTAAGCCATCAACAACATCTTCTCCCGTTTACGTCAAGATTCATGTCAATGACCGAGTAACTGAAGATATTGTTGACACAGGATCCATCATTTCAATTATTCATGTAAATTTTCTTAAAACCATCCATCACAAGAATTTTATTTATAAAACTCGTACATGTCAAACGGCAAATTCAACACCTCTCAATATTATCGGCCAAACAGAATTAGAATTAACAATTAAACATATAAAAACTTCGCTGATTGCTTATGCCGCAACAAATTTAATTGCATCAATTCTGTTAGGCAATGATTGGATCAATTCAAATCAGGTTCATCTTTTTGGTGATCAGGAACAATTAACTATTCCTGATCAACATAGTCAATTAATTTCAATCCCGTATATGGAACCTACTTCTATTAATTATCAAGCACTATCAGTTCATTAAATTACTTTTCCTCCATATTCACAAAAATTAGTTGATATCATATGCCAAGCCACTGACGCTAATAATCCTATATTTGAACCATATGAACGGCAAATATCGAAATTTATTTTCATTTCACATACATTATTAAATGTTAATCCGAATCAAGCTAAAGTATTATTAATAAATGCACAAAATCGACAACAAACATTATCAAAAAATATACGAATCGAAACCATTTCCCGTGATGCAACATATACTTATATGTGAAACTATACAAATTTCAACAACACAAAATTTTATTTTAAATGAACGTCATCAATCATTATCTCGACATTACAAAAAAATTTTACAACAGAGCTGTCTTAAACACGAAGGACAACTCAAATCAAGAACAATTAAATATTATTTATCAACGTTGCAATGAATATCTTTTATCTGATAATGCTTTACAGAAACACTTACGAGCACCATGTTATTCCGATCAGATCCGAAAGAAAATATTCGAATCGACTGAACAAATAGAAAATCCAAAACATTTTTTAGTCGTTCAAGATATATTTTAGCGAAATAAAATATTATTTGATCCTACATCATCAATATTAATATTCCTCCACAATCAGCAATTAAAACTAATGATCATCCTCCTATTTATTTGAAACAATATTCCGCTTCGTATAAAGATCAAGTAATTAAATTTTAAGAAACACAAAAGCTATTAGAACGTGGTCAAATTGAAGAATCAACTTTTCCGTGATCATCACATGTTGTCCTTGTTAAGAAGAAAGATAAAACTATGTGGTTTTGTATTGATTATCGCCGTTTAAATGCTATTACAATTAAAGATGCATTTCCACTTCCTCGCTTTGATGAAATATTTGATCAATTATCCGATGCAATGTATTATACTAAATTTGATTTTAAATATGGTTATCTTCAAGTACCTCTATCTAAAGAGGACTGTCCTAAAACTGCTTTTTCAATTCGTGACAATCAATATCAATTTATTGTACTTCCACAAGGAATAACCAACAGATTCGCAACTTTTTAACGTGTAATTAATCATATATTAGGGCTCACAAGATGGTAATATGCATTAGCTTATATTGATGATGTAATTATTTATTCGAAAACGTTTGAAGAACATTTATCATATCTTAATGAAATACTTATAATATTAAAAAATGCTTAATTTCGTCTTAATCGAGATAAACATGAAATTGCTTAAACTCAAACAGATTATCTTGGATATACCAATATAAAAAATAGTGAAGTTCGTCCAAGTCCTCATAATATAAGTGGCTAATTAAATACAAGATGGGTGTGAGTTTAGGTGAGTCGGAGAACAGAAGATTACGCCGATACCTATGCCCACACTCACACCCTCAATTTAAAGAGCTTATTAACGAAACAAAATATGTTTCCATACGCTTGAGACTATGCTCTACAAGATGGCAATAATGAATTTTTAAAATGACGACTTCAAACTCCCGGTCCTTGAAATTACGCATTGCGCGATCAAGCCGAATATATTCGGGTCTCAAATTGATAGAGGTTCTGACTAATATAACTTGTAAAATAATTTAATTGAATATTAATTAAATTTTCTTGTTTTTTGTATTGTTGTTGATTTTCTTGGATGTTGTTTTGTAGAGTCGCCAATTGTTAGATATTTGTTCTCCTTCCTTTCCTTTCCTTTCCTTTCATATATATATATATGTACTAGATGTTATATATATGTTGATGTTTATGCACGAACTTTATTATGTAAGGAATGAAAGAAAACAATAATTTATATATATATATATATATATATATATAGATATGTGTCAGAAGAACGAAAAGAAGTGAGCCTAATTAAAGATTAAAGAAGATGAAAGAGAGTAGACGATAAAAAAAGATAACAATCATGTCGACATGCGACAGCACCGTAACGGAGTTTTTACTGTATGTAGTCACACAAAGTTCATGGGCAAAAAGTGATTTCCATGTGGTCGGGATTCCAAGTATCAGCCATGGAAGATTTATCATCTCCCCACCAAGAATAGGCGTCTGGGCATCTGGACTTGAAATGGGTTGGGTTCGCCGAATGATTTTTACATGCCCTTACATTACCGTCAACCCAAACCTTTAAGTCGTTCGGACACTCGTTCAGGATATTCCAGCCGATACAATACAAGTTTCTACGGTTGCCTCCACCACCTCCAACCGGAACAAGAGCTATTGGATATGTGAAACCATCGACAAGAGAGATATCGTACCAAATGCGACCATTATCGTCGTTAATTTCAGCGAGTGTGTAATCACCCCAGATGCCAGGTTGTTCAGCCCAGGTTCGATCTGATCGGCCGTTGGTTCCCCAACTGTCTCCTCCAGCACCAATCCAACGACCATTGTCATCGTTGTCAATATGCACTTTGAGAGGCCACCAACATTTGTTCTTAACCCTCACTTTTACTCCAGAAGCTAGATAAAAACCAGTCAATTTTAAATTATATACCTTTTTTTTAATTACGCACCGACAGTAACGCCAATTATAACAAACAGGATAAGTTTTTTTATGTTCATCTTTGTTTGTGAAAGTGATCGAACGCTAATGTTCTATGTATATATATATATTTCACAGACAAGCGAATGTTTCAACAAAAAAGGATTGAGCTTTTGTAGATTTTGCTGACTCCTATATATAGTAAGCAACGTTATTTATTCTTTGATACTATCAATCATGTACATGTATGAGATGAATAAATTTCCTCTTACTAAGTATGTAGCTTAAAAATCAGACAGATTGGAACTCTGTAGACTGGATTTTTATCTGGACTGCATCTTCCCAAAATTCTGATTTTAACCGAAATCGCATTTTTTTACAAAGATTCCCTGACCCTCAGGAGCTGGCTAAATAGCTGAATTTTTTTCAGAGCAAGTTTTCTATGTAGTCTGTTTGTGATCAGAATTCCAGCTGTCTAACGCGATCCCCTCTTGAGATACGTATATAGACAAAACATTGAGAAACCAGTTTTCCTATCAATTTATTAGTATTGACCAACTCATCAAAAGCTGATCCATTTGAAACCATTCTTTCAACATAAATCTCCCAAACTAAGATGTGTTCACAGTGAAAATTTCAAGTCAAACAGATGAAACTGATTTAACACTAATGCCAATGTATTAAATTATTTTTTTAACTCTAATACAAAAGTATTAGCATTTTTTAAATACTAATACTAAGCCGACATCTTTAGTTTACATGCCGTAACTGCAAGGTGTCTAGAAAGTAATAAAACAAAGAAAAATTTGAATTCATATCTTCGCCATATTTGGACCAAATGGGCTGATATTTTTACCACTAATAAAGAACTCTGCATAGCTCATATTCATAAGGAAAACGTTGTCAAAAATTGTTTGAAGTAGTACAACTAACTTCAATAAGCAACTGTATTATTTTCCGAGTTATGAAAAAATATATATTCATTCCCTTAGTCAAGAATAAATGACATGTAATTTTTTCGATTACTTCTTCACACTAGTGCCGTTTGGTCTCATACTTACATTACAGATATATGTCTTGCTACTCAGTGTACTCGAAAAGTTTCAGCCATTGACACAACTGCAATATTAGTTTTTCATAACTCATGAAAGGTCACAGTTTTTTGTTGAAGTTAGTTGTACACTTCAAAACAATTTTTGATAACGTTTCTCTTATGAATATGAGTTATACATAGTTCTTTATCAGTGCTAAAAATACCAGCCTATTTGATCAAAATATGACAGAGATATGTGTTCAAGCTTTTCTTTGTTTTGTTATTTTCTGGACACCTTGTATGTCGTACTTATGTTATATTATTTAAATTGCCTAAACTAGCGGTCTTTTCCGATTATTATAAAAAAATCGCGATTTTTTTTGACGATTTTCAGACAAAATCACAATTAATTAAATAATATTCCTGATGATTTGACGTAGTCTTAGTATAGGCATCTACGATTACAACTATGTCTCAACGTACATATCAATGTCATTTACCATCGTACTAATACATATTTCTTCTAAATGAGAAGAAAAATCCTTTGTTTCTCTTCGTTTACAACGAATAACAGAAAACAATTTCTTAGGAATAAAATAATACTTACGGTTCACTTTGATAATCAGATGATCTAAATAAAACAGAAAAATTCTTATTTTTTATTGAAACAAAGAAACCTACTGTTGAATGAGGTGATCAGATAATCTCAACAGAACAAAGCAGATATACGTATTTGTATATAGTAATACGTATATTTATCTTGTAATCAATGAATAAAAACTGATTTTATAATATCCATTTATATACGATTTTTTTTTTAGTGTTATAATTATATGACAACTGCATAGGATAAAAAGAAAATTAAAGGAAAAAACCAGAAGTATATGGGAAAAAGAAGAGTACAATTTCTTAACCGTAATAAATAAATACATATTGAGTCAATGATGACTCATGATATTAGTCAAGCTTCAACATTTTTCTTTTTTGTTTTCTGTTCATTTGATATGCGCGTGTACATATCGACGCTCAGGGACTTTATTTTGATTGCAATATGGGAAAACATCTCTCATTTATGTTCGATTATTTTGTGCAATAGCATTCAAGTATTGTTTTTCTTGGCTTCATTTAACAAATATGTCTTCTATGTAAAGAGTATATGCATAATGACAATATATCGTAATGAAAACTTCATTTTATCAAGATCATCAATGTTCTTATATTGTCTACTTGTTACTCATCTCTAACAAACTTGAATATTCCTATTTATTTATCGAATAATGTGAAAGTAAGTGTGCAATATTTTCAAATATTTATTAATTTAAAAAGATAATCACAAACGACAATACTGTTTAAACAGCAACAGTGAATAATAATACTCGACAATAAAAATTATTTAGTGAATACTGTTTATTCCATCTTAGGGATTTTGTTAGGATGCTCGTTACGGATCGCAAATGACTGTAACCAATACGATTACGATATTTTTACGTCCATAAACGCCCGTATGCCATCGTATTTACACGAGCTTCTTTTCATTGAAGAGAAAGGTGAATTCTTACTAAGAGAGCTCCCTTGAACTAATCGAGCATCAATATTATATATAAGGCACTCGAGAGAAATTTTTTTTGATTTTTTTACTCATTCAACGCATCAATGTCTAAAATGATCGATCCCAAAATTTTGGGTTCCAATATCTTTCCATTGAAAAGTTAGCCAATACAGACTTTTGGCACTATCGTACATTTTTGGGAAAAAAAAAGAAAAAAGTCCCTATAAAAGCAATGTTAGCTTGCGTTTCAACGGATCATTGAAATTATATAATAATTAGCAACTCATGTTTTATAAAGCCTACATGAATCAAAAGCGGTGTTTTTGATCACTTCAAAAGAAAAAATCAATGTATTTCGTACTATGTTTCAAGATCAAGAGTCCCCAAGCTGAGTTTCATATACGTTATGCAGCTTTTTTCCTCTATAAAATGATTAAAAAAATATTCAAAAAAAAAATTTCTCCTCGATCTGAAACGGAGCTTACACCTCCTAGTTTTTGATGGGTTTGTGTGATTTTTCAATAGCAAAATGAATATTTTTAGTGGTTTTCATTGTCATGACAAAAGGTTAAAGCAAAATAAATACGATATTTGGAATCAGCGTCAAAAACTGTATCTAATCATATACTTTTCAGTGAAAATTTTTTCCCGTCCAAAACTAGCACGTAGCGATTTTTTTGAACTGATCAAAAACACCGCTTTTGATTCATGTAGGCTTTATAAAACATGAGTTGCTAAACATTATATAATTTCAATGATCCGTTGAAACGCAAGCTAACACTGCTTTTATAGGGACTTTTTTATTTTCTTTTCCTCCATAAATGTGCGATTGTGCCAAAAGTCAGTATTGACTAACTTTTCGAAGGTAAGATATTGGAACCTAAAATTTTGGGGTCGATCATTTTAGACATTGATGCGTTGAATGAGTAAAAAAAATTTAAAAAAAAATTTTCTACCGAGTGCCTCGTATACTCGGTCCTCTCATGGACGCTCTCTTAAACACTTTATAACAAAAGACAATTCGGATGATCACTGTATTTATTCTTATTACAAAATTTGATGTCAACAAATCTACATGTATGTCTTACAAGTACATTTTTATTGTTTGGTATTTTCTTTTTGAATTGATATCTTGTTAGCACATGAAAAGAGTGGGAAAGAAAAAAAATCCCATACTCATGATAGAACAAGAAAATAAATGTCATGATTGCATCACCAAGGTATTTTTTTTGTTTCTTCTATGTATCTTGCCTTATGTCTTCACCATACACATTTCAAGTAAATGAAGACATGTGGACAGAATGCAATTGTTAGATTAAATTATACTGATAAACATTGTCTTTTAAGAAATATTGATGCTATTTATCTCATGAATAAAATATTTTTTTCTCATTTGTGCAACTAAACAAACAATCAAGCATGTATATAAAAAATATTTGCAAATTAGAGAATAATCTTGTTGGTAAAGAATAGTAATACTTAAAGAAAACGTTCAACGATAGTCATAGACGACAAAGTATAGTAAGCATCATCATCATCATTTTTATTACTTTTATTATATGTTTATAAATTGAGAGAATTTAAATGAAATGAAAATTAGTAGTACAAGACTCTGATCATAATTACCGAAGTTGATTAAAACGAATCCGTTGACAGAAAGTACTATTATGGGTCTGTATTATCTAGCACTAGCTATATAGTTCGTAAATAATTCTTGTCGTAAACGAACTACATGTTGACTGCATATGATGTGTTATAGCTATTTAAATTCACTATTGAAGTGTCCGTAAATAGGCCGTGTTTTGCATGAATTTTGCAATGTAAATCTTTAGTTCGTTGTCTAGTTTTACTTTGATAATTTAGTCACATAATTCTAAATACTTTTAGTCGTAGGACATTAGTTGGTATCCTATAATCAAAAAACAAAAAAACAATGCGAAACTCAAAAAAGATTTTGAAAATTAAAACGAATTTTGGATCATTTTAATCAACACATCATCCGATGATAAATATGGTCACAAATGATATGATTTCTTGTATAAAAATGACTGCTAAAAATGTCAACATGATATTTCCATTTCTAATCATCTCTGCGGATTTTCACTGATTTTTAATTAAAATACAAGAGTTATTTCTCATATCAGAAATGACCAAGCTATTTATAGACAATCAAATACATTTGAAAATTATAGACTAACTGAGCTTCTTTGTTACATTGGGCATATAATATATGATGAATTTTGGCAGTAAATATATAATTATGACGAAGGAATTCTATATTTTTAGATTTTTTATCATTGATGTTCAAATCATCTATTTGTAAACCATTTATGACAAAATGTCTGCGACAATAGGTCAACAGTTATCGAATATCAATTTAAAAACTTCTACGACGACTACTAGGAATAGTATAGAATGCAATTATGACACGATTGTATTTCACAATGATGATGAGAATTTTCATTTATTTCCATCATCAAAACTCTTGATGGCATAAGAACAAGTTCAATTGGTTTTGAGCAAATTGCAAATGCTCACATACAATTAATGAAAAAAAATTCAAAAACATCTCTCTCTACCAGTGCATGTAGCTGACATTACAAAAATTAATTGTGAAATAAATGAAATACTTACAACAGGTATTTTTGCATTGATTTCTGCTCGTTACCGAAAATCTACTGAAGAAATTAGGACTATTAAGAAAAAACAACAACATTTTATGTTAAACATATTCCTGAAACAAAATTTTGTAGAAAATGAAAATTTTGATCAATCTAGTCCTTTTGAATCGTTTGACGGTATATTATCCGATGATATAGACACATTTATCATCGAAGATAAAATTGGAAATGATGATACACAGCAATCGATTGTTGCCAAACAAAAATTTCAACAAATATCTTATTTTGCAGTGCAATCGTTAACATTATTATTGCTAACTCTAATCAAATCAGCGGAAAAAATAATCCAACATCGGCTCAAGAACTAATTACTTTGAAAAATGATGCAAATTTCGAAAAAAGAAACGGTTTCCCTCAGTTTTTTAAAATTGTTTGACATAAAAAAATTTTCAAAAACTCAAAACTAATTTATCGTAATCAGCAGCTTGCGTTCTATCAAAGCATGTGTAAAAAACACGAAAAAAAGTTTTTTACTGGAATTTTGAATTGCGTGCACCTTACGTTGTTCAGTTATGTGTGAATGAGAGAAACAACAAAAACAGAGTTTTCTGCGTGAAGTAAGCCCATCCATCACAAAACAAACATCTTCTTTCTTTTTCTGATTGAGCTCAAACACTTGAAAATGTATAGAAGGAAATTTTATTGTTCTTCATGTCATGCTTAGAAATTTTGGTTATGCATGTATCATACTTCTCTCAAACTTTGGTGAAATTATGAGTAACTGTCAAGCGTAGTGTGACCCGTTATTACGCTAAACTTCATCGAAATGTTATGTAACTTCAATGCAGAAATTGAAACTTCGCGAAGTTACGATGACAAAAACAATATTATGCTTAATCTTGGTGAAGAAATCATAGCTTCTGCCCATGGCAAACATTGAATCCTTGGTTCTAATCCAATCCACGTTGCCTATTTCTACCATCGGATTTTGTCGGTATTTCGAAATAACTATTCCTGCTGTTCGTCCTTCATTCTTAATATCAACTCTATCATGTCCATTTATGCTAACACTACTACTACCATCCTTGTCACGTATACTAAAACGAATCAATCCTAACCCTAAACTCTTGCAAGCGGACAATCATGGCGAGAGACAATGAGTCTCTTTCACTGAGAATGACTGAATCAATGAATATATCTAAAACGAAGAAATGTTCGACAGGAAAGAGAAAAATATACTTACCAGATGATGCGAATCGACTGTTTCACTCTATTACCCAACAGAGATGAGCAGTTCGTTTCATTGACTACGATTGAATCGGGTAATTGATCACAACAAAGTGTTTGATAGAATCGGGAAAAATCCACTTACTCTTTATCGCGGATCAATCCATTTGCTATAGTGATTATTCGTATAGAAGAAATTCTCTTGCCCGATGGTCCATATGGAAGCATTCGCTGTAACGATGAACATGAGAATAATAGCTTGAGCTATGTCAGAATGGTCGGATATGATAGGCTGATTGCTGACACATTCTGAATATATTTCTATATATCAATCGTTAACACAAAAAAATCTCACTACGACCCTTACGTTATAACTTCGCTTAATTGTGGCAAACAGATCGACGTATTATATAGTGCGTTCGTAATGTGCGTAACTTCCTCGAAGTGCAAAAAATCAGGTGACATGGGCACACAAGTATATTTGCATATTGAGTCATTGTCTGCTCTATGAATCAAAGAAAAACTGAAATTATGCTGTTTGTTTTTTTTGCTCCTAAGTATGAATCATCACGAATTTTCTCTTGAATTCATACTAAAATGGAATCAGTGATGATATGCATTGCGCGAAAGTTTTATCGAACAGTGAATTGACAGAGATGCACTGATCCCATGAAAATCGAAAAGAATCAGCAATAAATTGTGATTGATTGATCGATCGATAATCGCACGCTATATCGCGATTTATTATTGCTCTCAGCGATTGTTTCGCGAAAATGAAAACTTGCTCTGTCTCAAGGAAGCAAAGGTGTTTTACGTCCTAGAGAGCGTATATTATTTTTTTTTGTCTGAAAGAGTGCTTACTGATAAAAAGCATTCTATTTCACGAGAAATCTTTTTACAAAAAGAAATATCTTAGAATTTTTTCAATTGTTCGAAAATTAGTCCAGAACATCAATTCAAGCCCAGTGGAAGCAGTATCGTCCTTTATTACTATTATTTGGCTTCAGAGATATTGTATTGTTAGATTTTGTACATTTGTAGGCGATCGTTGAAGGTGAAATGAAGGCGAAGACCCTATTTTTCGAATCCAAGAGTATAGCTTTTGTATAATTCATGGTCAAGAGGCCGTTACAACTGTCTAAGTAAGGAAGTCTTCCAATTTGTTCTTGTTCGATAGTTCCTACAATTCACGAACTACGTAATTTTCCAGTTCATTCTTACACGAATGAACATATCTTGGTTTTTTTCGATGGTTTATTGAAAAATGTTTCCTAATTCATCAATTCTTAGCGATATTGCCTGTTGCTTTGATTATGTTGCTAGTCAAAATAGATATCATTTATTTCTGACTTGCTCTTACTAGTACGTACATGTAGTTAAGATTGTTCTGTGGACAAGAATGAATTCATCTGTGTAGAACATATTGAACGTCTTTAATAGTTTAAGAGACATCTTTTTAATCGACTCTTTACCATCTGTTTCACCGATACTGAATAGCTAGGAAATAGTCACTCCGTTAGAATGAGACAAGTTCAAAACGATGTCAAAAAGTTCAGTGCTTAACGGTCATTTCAATTCGGGCCGCATCCATAGAAATAAGAGTACTTGATGAAATTTCAAGATGAGCATTAGTTACGAATTAAATTAATCTGTTGTCTATATTGAACGATTTATAAAGCATAAGACATTGACAGAACTTTTCGGCGCACTTGCATACACAGATATCAATAGGACTGATAGAAAAATATACTTAATGGGTGTGGGTGTGCGTATAAGAACAGCTGCACCGACACTCACATCCCACCCGCACCCACACCCTTATGCACAAATCTATGCAATTGCTTTAGATAATGAGAGTCAACAATATGTTCTACCAAGAATAGATCGACTTTTAACCAATGCTGACTCTCTATTTGATTCAACACTGAAATTATTCATTTTTCAACAACTTCTACAAATTTCAGGATGTAGTCTAGATTATTTCCGTAATAGATATATTTATCGTAATCTTGGTTGGATTAAAGATTTTCTCCAACGATTACAAGATCATGAAGAACATCATATTCGTCAAAATCTTATTGTGCTCATTCCATTGTTCGAATGGCGAGAACAATTCCAACGAGTTAGTAAAATTCTCCATCAAGATAACGAAATTGTTGTTCGACGACAGTTTGTTCGTGAGTGTAGTATGTCACAACAACTCAGTTATGCTTTTCTATGTTGATTCATTCAATATTATTGTCGTTTTATACAAGTCAACAGCAAAGTCGATGACAAGTTTGTTCGTTTGATCGCAAATGATTTACAACAAGAAATTATCGAAACATTTATATCCTTAGGTTTAAAATCACTTACTTTTTTGTGCACAAATTTTTGGAGTACTTCCTATTTTTATCTTGATGCGACTATGCCACCGAATGATATTCATAAACGTTTACTTGCTCTCAATATTATCGCTGCATTGACTCTTATAAATCACGACGCGAAATGGATTTACTCGGAAATCTTTTATTCAATGATCAACGTGGAATACCCACTGAGTATGTACGACATATTTCAAGTATTTGGTTATCTGGTCTCATGATTGGCGATGGTGTTACGATACAAATGATGCATGTACGAACAAAAGTTCAAGATCGTCTAAAACGAGGACTGATTCATGATGGAGAAAAAGTTATTGTTCAATATTCGCAAGCTTGTCCTTGAATATTCTATTTACAAAATGGTGATGTTCGCAATGATTCAAATATTTGTTCACAATGCCAGAAGCCGATTAGCATTACTGAGAACAATATTCTTATTGAGCATGATCCTGCTCAAATTCAAATGCCCATCGATGAAAGCTTTGAAATAATCGATCAATATAATCAAAGAGTTCGTTTTGGATATCAAAATTTTAAAACAGCTGAAAATAGTGCGTTCAATGAAAAAGCTGATTATTTAAGTCGATGCGTATAGTTTCGCTTCTTACATTTTCCCACACATGGTCTATTGTTTTTCTTGCGTGGACTCAATTATTTGATTGATCAAGACATGAAAGGATATCTTAAATTGTCAACAGCCACACATTTTCGTGATCATTTTGAGAAAGTCTACGAACTTCTCTGTCAAACATTTACAGATAATCTACAATGTTGCATTTGGCTTTACAAAATTCTTAATCATCTTGTTGATAATGGGTTCTTTCAACAAAGTTCGATGAAAACCAACGAATCAACACGAACGTATGATTGAAGAAAAATTCATATTGCCACATATTAATTCAATCACTAATGAACTTACTAAGTATAAACAACCATATGCTCAGTTGTTCCATGAACCTAACATTCAACCATCATTGGGAAGTTTCATTGATGAAATTTTTGAATATCAACAAAAATATCCATTGTTAAGTTTTTCTAATGTAACTACTAGGTGGGAAACAGTATTTTGATAGGGGGGTACCGCTATAATTTCATATAGAGTAAATAATGAATTTTATACCAAATGAAAGCCCGTCAAAAATGGGGTTTATTAATACTAAATAGTAAGGGTTATGAAAACTTTTTAATATGGAACTTAAGAAACTTTCAGAAATTTTATACTTTTTTTGCGGTGGAAAAGTAAGATGCCAGTAATTCAAAAATAGAGTAAAATGTTTTTCTTGGATATTTTTACATGGTTCGATAGAGCTCATTGAGCTCTACAAAACTGTATATATGAAAAATTTTCTGAGTCATTCTTTTGTGATAAAAAATTGAAAAAACTATTTGGAAAATCTTAAAAAACGTTTAAAAAAGCCATATTTTTGATATGGAAGAAAAATACTCGAATTTTCAATAAAATTAGCTTTTTTTGATTATTTTTACTCCCACCGGCATTTCAAAATATACTCATTCGATGCAGCGTGAAAAACTGCATCGAATGAGTATATTTTCAAACATCTTACATAAGGATACTAGTGGAAAACAGGTGAATTTAGTGTAAATAAATGTGGAAACCTCGGATTTAAATCCGAGAGTTATGTGTACTTCAAAAAGTGAATGAGACAAATCGGTCATCCTAGAATATGCAGATATAAAAATTAGCCTGGCAAATCCTTTCTATAAACACTTGAATTCTATTGGCTACTGCTCAACCAATAGGATTTTGGAGTGAATACAGCTCAGATTTGGACTCTTCGCCTTGAGTTATCCTAAAAAACGCGTTTTTTCCTATAATTTGATTTCTATTGGTCAGTGGTCAACCAATGGAGCTTCAAGTCAAGTGGATTACAGATTCAAGTTCTCCATCCCAGAAAACCTCGAAATATTATCTCGGTGATCGGAAGATAGAGCTCGAATTGGGGATCGATTAGAGCGCAGACGAAAAGTAGAACCGATTTCCGTTTATTTATCTTTTCAATAGGTGAGCTAGCTTTCTTCTTTCTTTATGTTTTATATACCATTTTGTAGCTCGTGAAATTCTCTATCGAATGGTGTATAATAGTTGAGGTTATCTTTGACTATAATAGGGAAAGTGTTTTACAAAAGTGGGGATAGGTAGATTTTCCTATAGGAAGCCATAGGGAAAAATGAGTATTTTTACAATAACTCAGGAAGGACTCGGCCAATCCTTCTCATCTTCGAACTCGACCGAGATATTGTTAAGACTGAACTGTGTAGAAAATTTCATCGCGATCTGATTCTCCTTTCAAAAGTTATCGTGTAAACGGACGGCCGGACGGCCGGACACACTGACCGATTCTAGAGTGTACTCACTTTTTGAGTACACAAAAAGACCACTTTTTTCCCCTATAAAAAGTGTAAAAACTGCATGTTTTTTGGTACATTCTTTAAGCAGTTTTTCAGTGAATTTTAACCCAACAGCTCTGGTTAAAAATTTTTCATACATACAGTTTTGTAGAGCTCAATGAGCTCTATCGAACCATGTAAAAATATCCAAGAAAAACATTTTACTCTATTTTTGAATTACTGGCATCTTACTTTTCCACCGCAAAAAAAGTATAAAATTTCTGAAAGTTTCTTAAGTTCCATATTAAAAAGTTTTCATAACCCTTACTATTTAGTATTAATAAACCCCATTTTTGACGGACTTTCATTTGGTATAAAATTCATTATTTACTCTATATGAAATTATAGCGGTACCCCCCTATCAAAATATTATTTCCCACCTAGTACATTTTATAAATTGGATCCTTTGTATGAATTTGTCTGTAAAATACAATCAATTCTATACACTGAAAATACATTCAATTATGACATTTATTCTCAAACGTCTCGATGATTATATTAATATTCAACATATTTATCCTATTATTGTTTTTACCAATTATCTTGTTGAAAAATTTAATTATCGAATCAACCGGAATGATGCAACTGAAAAAACTTCTTTATTATTTAACGAAAGACATAGATCAACATAGAACAAATCAACTTTATAATGATTTTCTAAATGCTTGGTATGCATTAAATTTGAAAGAGGTTCATCATGGCAATCAAACAATGAAATTCGAGAAGACTATTTCGAAAGAGATATGCGCCGAAAATACAGACATTAATGCATTTCTACTGCATACATTAAGCGATGAAAGTAGTCTTCTTCTTGTTACACGTCTTAAAACACCTGCTGAATTACAATATGAAATTGTCAGCTATTTTTATGATACTATCAAAAACGGTGTTAAAACAGAGACTGAACGAAAACGTATATTACTTCATTCTATTCGACCGGAACATATTCTTAATCTTGATCGAAAAATTTTGAGTCAAAATTTAATTGGTGATTGTCTTGTTTCTAATTATCAATATGGAAAAGGTAAAGATATTATCTATTATTATGGAGAAATCGAAAGCTATTTGCAAAATATGATCAATTCGCTAATGTTGATTGATACAGATCGATTACATTGTCTCAATTATCAATTTGAACTGTACGGAGAAAATACGTCGTTGATCAATGATATTCGTGCTCGAATCAAACAACAACCACTCTCGAATGGTGATCAAACTAAATTACAGTCTCGTTGTCGGAATGAATAATGATGATATGCTCAATAATCTTGATTCACTCGATTATGTTTTTACTTATTTGAGAACAAGTATACTAGACAGTGCTTTACAAAGAATACCCATTCACAACTTCGTTGAATATTATATGCGTTCGCATACTTGTTTAAATGATACAATTCTCTATCTATCATCATTTTCTACGATTCAATTGCGATATACCATCGATTTATGTAAAATGGTTGAAGAAAATGTGTTCGATCGAGTTTTATGTGCTTATGTTAAAAATGAACTTCAGAAAAAAACATTTATAGATGAGAAGAGACAAAGTGTGATCAAAGCATTTTCATATAAAACATTTAAAAATACAAACTATTTCTCCTGAATATTCTTTTTTTTACAGGTATCGATTCTTTCCGTCAATGAGAATAAGAAGGAATCAAAGAAATGATTCCTTTCGATTCCATACATCTCATGACATCTTTCTTCAATCCTAAGACACAAAAATCAAGCACTTGTCAACAAAACAAAGACAAGAATCTATTGAATACATAAAACAAGAAATGTTGCTTTTTGATGTTGATCACTATGTTACATTATCTTCAAAGAAGAAACTAGTTTCATTATTAACGAGTATTTCATCTATTTATATACCAAATTTTTATTTAAATACAGAAATTGATGACAAAGGCTATGCTGACCAACATGGTTCGTCAAAATCATCACCACATACAGTCCAAATTGACTCCAACTTTACCAATGATCAATTTGAAAATTCTTGAAGCGTGTATTTTTTTTTTGATCGACTAATAATTTGATTGAAATCATGCTGATTTTGAGCAATTCGTTCAAAGAATTGGGCACAATCTCAACATCATATGTACACTTATTTTTTTCATAAACAGCTGATTCATGAAATTAATCTTCGTTCTGATCTATCTGTTGGAGATAATATTCGACCATTACCATCTAGTTGTATAAAATTAACCAGATATTTGGATCATCAAAGAAAAAAAATAGTACTGAAGATAAATCTTTTTATTAATCTTTGTATGATATTCTCTTTCTTTTCGAAGAGCAATCATTTTTCATATTAGAACATTTCAATATAAAATGATACAAACACTCTAAAAAGAAATTGTTAGTAAATCAAGTGAGTAATCTATTGACTATTTTCAAATTATTGTATTATTTTTCATCGCTTAATTTTATCGCTATTTATTGTAGGAAACAATTCATCCTTATTCAATAATACAATAAACATATTACAATAAACTCACAAACTGAAGCTAAGACTGTTTTAACATGCTTATATGTACGAAATATTTAGTATAGAATATTTACCATTGGTAGCTGAATGATTTCTAAATGAACATCAACTGAATAATCATGCACTATGAAGAAGTATTATTCTAGGTATACTGGTATGTCACATAAATTTTCTCAGATTTGTTTGTAGTTTTTGATCTGTTTTTTTTGTAAGATTGCAGCTATTGTTTAAACATTATATATTATGAACATCAAATAAAACACATAAAAAAAATAGTCATAAAATTGAAGTTGGTTTTGAAATGTTTCAAAAACGCTTCAAGAGCTAAATTCAATGCAAAATTCTAGTAGGAGACATTTTTTGAATAAACATCGAGAAAAAACCCAAAGTATTGAAAAAATACCCGAAATATCGAAAAAAAACCCAAAGTATTGAAAAGAAACCCAGTAAACTCAAAAAAAACAACTTTCATAGGCCTTCACATAATAATCTTTAGTACAAAACAAGGTTCTTATTTGTAGCAATGGATGATTGGTGCTTGCGTCATACATTATTTTTCTCTTCGTTGATTACAGTTTAAAATGATAAGATAATGAGATAAGTGATCATTCAAACTGTCAAGAAAAATGCAAATTGTGTCAATCAAATGCACAATAGTAATACCTTGTGAGATAAGGAATGAGAATGAAAAAAATATGTGATGATGAATAACATTTTTTTCCACATGCACGGACGTTGATGATATATCAAAGGACAAAAAAATATTGAGCTATTTTCTTTTTTATCGATTTTTGGTAATAGAGTACGTAACCATTTGTGAAGCTTATTATGAACTACAGAAAACAATCATCTTTCAAAAAAATGCGTTTAGTCATATGTATACTCTAAAACGAGGAAAGATTAAAAGGATATTTTTGTTTTTCGTATCGTCGATTTTTACTCTCCAAACAAAACAAAACAAAGTCATCTTTAAATAAACGTAAAATAAAAAAACTAATATGTAAATAAAATATAAAATGTTTAGACAAATATAGTTTACTATGTTTACTCATACAATGGCATAAAAAGTCATTTACAATTGTACAAGAGACAGAGAGAGGAAAAAAAAGAAAGAATTGAAAAAAGGATTATATTTTATCTTTGAGAAAGCATAGGTTATATATATATATTGCGTTAAAGACGTTTATGTGAGCTAATTTATTAATGGTTTCGTTCTTGCTGACACTAGCTAGACGAAATGATAAAACAAAACGTTGAAGAAGAGATTTGGGAAGTATTAATAAAGCACAAATGGTATAAGAGTGAATATTGCTGTATAGTTGTTTACAGTTTGGCTGTCGTCTCATTTCTACAAGCATTGTTTTTGATTATCAGCATTGCGTAAACTTCCAATATATATATATGTAAGAACAAAATTACAGTACGATATAAGTAAATGATTAATTTAAAGAGGCTTACGTGGATATTTCATGAGAATCAAGTTTTGACATTTTTGTACTTCAAAATAAATAGGAAATGATTATGTATCATACAATATTCAGATTCCACTAACTGTTTTTGAATAATATTTTTGTTTGATTATATTTAAGTGTCTAAATAAGTTGCATAAATAAGTAAATGGATATAACTGGTTCAGATTTACGAAGAACTTTGTCGTTTACCAATTACCTAATCATAATAATAAATATGCATAATGTGAATTTGCCAACAGTAATGCAGTTTTTTTTGAATATTTGATATTGTTTATCACTTACCCAAACTAGAAAAAAAAATAAATGTCCTATTTAAAGAAAGTGAAAGGAAGAGAAAATGATTTCTTATTATTGTAGAAAGATTCACACAACGATTTATGGAACTCATAATAAGTCTGAAGTAATAACAATCTGGAAGATATGCCTTGAGTAAAAATAGAAAAGTTTATAGCAAAAAGAACGCACACATCAGACGACAATAAAAGATTCCATGTGCGTTTATCCATCAATAGTACCTTTTTGATTGATTGCTGAGAAGATCATATACTGTAAACCTAATATAAATTCTAGTTTTAAGAAAAACAACTTTACAAATGCTAAAGGATTTTTGAAATTCTGTTTCTATGTTGTAAAAATCATCGTACTAATAATGACGTGTTTCTTATGTCGTATCAAAAATTTGTGTTTCATTTGTGTGCTTTATCTTTGAACTCTTGTTGAATAATATATTTTTAATTTCTTACTCTTGATATACCTATTCAATATGTTTTCAAATCCTTTGTATTATTTCCTTAAGGAAGACTTAAGAAGAAATAAAAATATCGTTTTCATTTTTTTTATTTGTCTACTTTATTTTAGATTAATAATATAAGAACGAGCACATGATCATCATATATCCGGGCAAAAATTGAAATATAACAAAATTGAGCAAGCAGTTCTTGAAGTAAAAATCAAACTACTATTTCTGATTCTCCGATTTTTATGTCTTTTTAGGAATGTTTAGCCTAGAAAAAGAGCAATTAGAAGAGTCTTTGATACAATTATGTCAACAAGTCGAATCGATGTATGTTTTAATCAATACAACAAAAATAATGATGATGGCTCAGTTACAGTTAAAATGGATATTACGTCTCTACTTCATGAATTTATTGTTCAAGAGATAAAGTTAATTAAAAGAATCATTGACCTTCATGTAGCTCTGTTAGTAGCCGATTGGTAAGTCCTAGAGTGTATTTTTTTTTGATCGATTATAATGATTTGTTGAAATATTGCTGAGTTTGAATAATTCGTTCAAATTAGTTTCTATAATCTCAAAATCATATCTGAATTTATTTTTTATTATTTTTTTCTATCAACATTTGATTCGCAAAATCAAAGCAATATTGGTTGTGATTTATTTGGTGAAAAATAATTCAAGCATTAAAATCTATCTGTACAGAATAATTCGAATATTTGAATTATCAAAGAAAAAAATATTTTTCTGAAAGTAATACATTATACTAATCTATGTGTAGTATTTTCTTTATTGTAGGAGAATAAACGGTCTTCATATTGGAACGTTTGCTTGTGACACGTTACAAACACTCCAAAAAGACTGTTATTAAATCATATTAATAATCTACGATCATTTAAATTATTGTGTAATTCCTATCACTTATGTTTATTATTGTTTATTTTAGGAAGCAATTGTAACCTATCTGATCATACAAATAAAATTGACTAAAAATATTAAAAGTTAATCGTTTTTGTAATTTTTTCTCATTTCTTTTAAAATTACCCATTTGTTAGTTTTATTGATCGTAGTTCTTAGAGTATTTTTTTTCACCAAATTGTAATTACTTCTATTTTTTTTGCATTATTTCTTTTAAACGTAGAATAAAATAAAGAAAAGAAACTTCATTGTATAATGAAAATTTATTTTCCATTTGTTCAGAAAAATGTTCTTATTTCAAGAAGTCCTGCAAAACCATCAATTCATAATATTTCAGGCAGGGAAAAAATAACTGAAAATATAGTGAGACATACTAGTGTTAAAAGATATAACTCTATGATGATACTATTTTACTTTCGTCATTATTATTGATTTTTCTCATTCATTTCGATATTCTCTTTGTTCTTCTTCTTTCCGTTGTTGTTGTTGTTGTTGCTTTTTTTTCTTATTATTAGGATTTAACGATGATTGCACTTTTGATCGAGCAAAGGTCATCAGTACTACTTTAATATTTTGTCGATTCTGTGCGATGATTATAAAGAAAAAAATAAGTTAATACGTGATATTAGCACATTATGGC